CAGGGCCAAATGTTAAAAACACGGTAGCCATATTGAATTGTCTTTTAGCAAAACAATTATGCCAAGATGATTCTTCTTGTTCAGCCATACAACATATTATACCAAAAGTTTGCGGAATCGAACAAGGTAAAAAAACAATTAAATATTTATTCATTTTTTTTTTTTAATAAACGTGTAATTTGTCATCTTTATTTTCTCCATTTTTTTTTTTTTAAACAAATTATACGTTCGATTTAAACGTTTTCATTTCGAACGGCTTATTTTATTTTTAAAAAAATATGTAATTTACTTAAAATAACCTTTTGAAAAAAAAAAAAAAATCATTAATTTTTTTTTAAAAAAAAGTTACTTTTATGAATTATTTCCACGTTTCGATTTTTATTTTTATTTTTTATAAACTTTCTACTCCCACGTTAAAAAACAGAAAAACAAAGAAATAATTAAACGTTTTCTATTTTCGTATCGTTTATATCGTAACAAAGTTTTTTTTTTTTTTTTTATAAATACATTTTTAAACAATTTTTATTTTTATTTTATGACGTAATTGTAATATTAATGACGTCATGATACGAATAAAAAAAAAAATTATATATTTTTAAACTGGAGGAAAAAAAAAAAATTAAAATGAATTTTCGTTTTCTCCAGTCGGTGCGTACGATAAAATCCAACAATCAGTCACCGATTAATAATAATAATAATAATAAAAGTAAATAAGTGAAATTCGAAAATATCCCTTGAATTTCTCCATTTTTCCCCAGGAAAACCGAGAAAATGATTGAATTGATTAATTTGGTTATGTAATTAATTAACAGACGGTGTAAAATAAGAAGTCATTAATATGATTCAAAGTCACGCTTCGCCGAAAATTAATTATTTATTTATTTTTTTTTTTATAACCGCGAATTTTCGGTTGATTATTTAAACGATTAATTAATAATATTAATTAAAACGAAAAATAAGTCACCGTAAACTTTTTAATAATGAAAATAATAATAATAAATAAATATGGGGAGATACGTTTGTTGCGAAAAAAATAATCCTACACTTTTTATTTTATTTTAAGGTTTCTCTAATTTAAAATGAAAAGGGATGTTGGGGAGAGGAGGGGGATGATAGGCAAAAGGGAAAAGAGAGACGATAGGGGGAGAGGGTGGGAGAAGGTTGAAAACGAGGAGAATTTT